CGCGCGGCGGCGTCATGGAAAAGAGATCTGAGGAGCAAAGCCCTTTGGTGTAGCGGTAGAAAAGAACTTGATCGCCGACGGCTCGCTGGTGTGGAAGGGCCCCGAGACTGTTTTTTAGAGAAGAGTCATCGATCAGTCGGAGAGCCTTTCTCTGGACAAGATCGAGCATAAGTAATATAGTCGGGGCGGCGGCGCCCCAAACGTGTGAGCAATACTCGAGGCTGGGCCGCCATTTCTAGGCCTTGTGTAGAGTGAGAAGGTCATGCGGAATTACTTCTTAGCTCTAAACCAATAGCCTAGTTTTTTCCCAGCAGCTGCCGCTATTGACAAGATGTGTTCGTGCCAGATCAAGACCTCGGTGATCTGGACTACGAACAGCCGAAATGGACGGCTCTTTGGCAGAACCCGGCCATCCATCGGAACCGTGTGATCGCTAGGACGCTTTTTGTTCGTTAAGGAAGCATTACACTGTACAAGATTGTTGCGTGCCCAAGCAGTGATAACCTCCAGATCTCTCGTCAGAGAGGAAGCCGTCGCTAATATTTTTTTTTCCAGTTCAGCTGCAGAGATCGGCTCAATTCCTGCATGTAGAGTGCTGTCATCAGCGAAGCTGTAGATTGGGTTGATCGTACAGGAAAGGAGGTCGTTGATATGCAAGAAGAACAGTATCGGAGCCAAGGCAATCCCTTGGGTACACCCGCGTTGACCTCGCGTAATGAAGAGGAGGTCCCGTTAATTACGACGGATACCTTGCGGCCAGAGAGATAGTCAGCCACCCATCTGCAAAGCTTTTCTGGGAGGCCATAGGATGGAAGTTACCATAAGAGGTCAGCGTGTCACAGCTGATTGAACGCTTTCGTGATATCAAGACCAACGACATAAGCCTCACCATAATACTGGATTAGTTTACTCCACAGTTGCGTGACGTAAGCTAGGAGGTCCCCTGTGGATCGCAGAGCTATAGGCCTGTGCTTGTAAAGGTCGATTTTAGATCCTTTTTTTGGGATGGGTTGGACATGAGCAAATTCACAGTTTTCTGGATTCATAAGAGATGCGAAAGAACTGGAGCAAGCTCCGCTGCACACCTCATCAGTTGCTACCGTGATATTCATCCCGACCACTGCATCCCCACGGCTAGGCGACCTGTTTGTTAATTTTTTGTTGATAGGGCAGCGGATTATGCTATAAATCATATGTCACAGTTTTTGTGCACTGGTTGCAACGGATAGATGATACCAAAAATATTTTCATAAATAGGAGATCTTTCCCATTCCGGATCGAACAATCTACCAAAGATGGTTATACTCACGATACCTAATAAATTTTCATGAAAAATCCGCTGTACCTAGGTATATCACAGCTTTCTTATACAGGGTGTTTCAAAACTATGGGATCAAGCTTGTAGGGGTTATTCAGTGTAACATTTGAGTATAGGGGCCCATATCCAGAAAAGTGTCACTACGGCCCTAAGACGCGTTCAAATTTAGAAAGACCATGAATTGCCTAAATAGAATTTAATCCTTTTAATTTTTGCCTTTTGAACATGATATCATCACAACAATTGTTCAAAATGTCTTCCTCCAACCTGAATACACCGATTTAAACATCGCACATGATTTCGGCGTACTTGACTAAAAATTTGATACTCGTTTTGTAATTCGTCCAATTAAGTCTTCTTTCTCTTTCTACTGGAGTTTCGTAAACCAAAGACTTTACATGTCCCCACAGGAACGGTGTATTCAGGTTGGAGGAAGACATTTTGAACAATTGTGGTGATGATATCATGTATAAAAGGCAAAAATTAAATCCATTAAATCCTATGTGGGCAATTCATCGTCTTTCTAAATTTGAACGCATCTTAGGGCCGTAGTGACACTTTTCCTGATATGGGTCCCTATTCTCAAATGTTTTCTACTGTTACATTGAGTAACCCTTACAAGTTTGATCCCATAATTCTGAAACACTCTGTATTTGTTCATCAATTTGATGATACAACACATCTGCCTGCCAAAGGACGAAGGTCCACTGTATGTAAGAATTACTTCATTTGCAATTTGAAGATACAACAGACCATGATGGTATTCACACGTTTCAAATATTCTTCAAGAAGTGATATCAGTCTATTTCGAACTATCTTAAGTACTATGTTTGTGTTCCTACTTTAAATTCAAAGCCAGCAAATGTAAAAGATTCATTTCGCACCCTCCACCACGGGACGTGATCGTCGTTAGACTTGGCAACCCTGCTAGTTAGATAGATAGATAGATAGATAGATGGATCTTTATTTCCAACAGGTACAATCACCCAATTACAGGAAATAATTCAAAAAGAAAACAATACTAGTATATAAAAAACACAATCAAATTAATAATACAGCTAGATCAAAAAGCCAAAATATATATAAAAAAAGAATAACTCTAACCGCAAAAAGGTCATTACATGCCATGGGAAATGGCCAGATAACGTTATAACTCTCCTACTATTTAGCGACATATAGTCAAATGAGGACAGAATAATCACATCCTCTCTCCGGATATTCGCCTGTCCACTTGAAATGTAGAAATTTCAAAAACTTTCTTTGTATTCGCTCAATACGGCTTATATGAACCGAATAGATAGGATACCAAATTAAAGAACAACTTTCCAATTTAGATCGAACGTACGAAGAATAAAGAAGTTTCAAAACATGTAAATTGGAAAATTGTCTACTGTTTCGGATGATGAAGCCCAACATTCGGTTGGCTGATATTGTGATATCATTTACATGATCACAAAATGACAAATTGCTATCAAAGAGAACACCGATATCTTTAATTTGATAGCACCTATTCAACTCATTCTCACTTATTTTGTAGGACCATGTTATTGGTTCTTTCTTTCTGGAGTACGTTAATATGAAGCATTTATCTACATTAACTTCAAAATGACTAGCATTACACCAATCCAAGACAAGGTCAATGTTGCCTTGTAAAATTTGGCAGTCCGAATTTGAGCTTATGTTATGAAAAAATTTTGAGGTCATCTGCATAGACCAACTTTTGGCATGTAATCATCATAGCTAGGTCGTTTATATATAACAAAAACAATAGAGGTCCTATATTCGATCCTTGGGGAATCCCAGATGTTGTCGAGAAAATATGAGAGCGGTGCCCTTCATATTCCACAAATTGCACTCGATTAAATAAATACGATTTAAGCAAGCTTAGAAGGCGTGCCGAAAACCCAAATCCTTGTAATTTTTTCATTAAAATGTGTAAGTCTACTCGGGCAAATGCCTTCTGTAAATCCATGTAAACTACATCCGTCTTCCTCTGCTAGTGACAGATAGATATACCCGCCAGTGAAAAAGGCATTCAAACAAGAAACATTATTATTTTTTTATGATTTTTGGAGTTAGAAGACATTATTTGTTAGAATTTTTTCGTAATTTTTTGGAGTTAGAAGACATTATTTGTTAGAATTTTTTCGTAATTGTTTGTCCATAGTAATTGCATTATACATCACGGAGATGTATAGATTGACACGTCTTACACATATTATCATATTATCTGTGTTTTAGGATGGAGAGGACATAATGTTTTTATTGCTTTGAAGAAATTTTTTAACCCATAAATTAGTAAGTGATTACTATTACGATGTAAAGGAAGATGAGGAATTGGTTGGAATGTATTTTATATTCTATTTTCTTGCAAAATACAGACAAATCCGCACTATTCAACAGGTATGTAGCTATAATGATAACATATAAACACTCAGTATATTGAACTTAACAAATTCGAGATTGCCATGCATTAACAAACGCCGAAACCTGCTATTAAATTTAACAGCTAGAAAATCGACCTATCATTTCTCCCATTCCCATTCGCTGAGGCATAACGGTTTGTCAAATGTAAATTTATAAGAGAAACCAAAATACATGAAAGTTGTCCTGTTTTCTCTGTAGGCGTAAAAGCCCGCAAGAATTATAAGTTGATTACAATAGTTATAAAAGCAGCAATCACTTATGAATGTGCATCTTGACCTTTCTTTGCCGAAACGCATTTTATGCGATGCCTGTAAGTTGTGCAGAACCTGCTGACTGCTGATTACTTATGCGATGTCTCCAATGAGAGTCTTCACAGATAACTTGAATTGTGATATGTCTTAAGGATCTGGATGAAACAACAGATGCATCAGGCAAATAACGAACTCGCCTTTTCATTCCGAAGGTGATCAAATAAAACTTGAATTTCGTGCACATTCTAGATATTAACATAATATTTAAACTGCAACTGATCAACAAGCAGTGATATACTGCTAAATTGATATAGGCACAGACTGAAAGAATGGAGAACGTATTTCTGATTGCAAAAATTGGAGTTCTTGTGATTGATATCTGAGGTTTGGCTTATAACTGCGGATAAATACTCGTATTATGGGGTGGTTATTACTTTCTTTTCAAGAGATTAATAATTTAAAACGCAATACTGCTGTGTACGTTCTTTCACTGTTTGTTAATTGGTTGCAGTTTCAATTTATTAAAATAGATATTAATCTAGAATCTGCACGGTATTTAATTTTTGCTGCGAAGATTTCATCTAAATAACGGGTAATTTTCTTTATGATTTATCTGTTTCTAAAACTTGAGTTAACTATGCATTTTATATATTGTGCTTTTAACTGAAATAGGTAATGTAACATCTCAAACTTATTCTGTGGCTTTCGTGTTGATGATCCTCCATGTATGTCTTGCCGAATTAAGCCACACAGGTACCTTAAATGTCTAAGAGTAATTGAAAATGTTAATCAATGTGAGTTCAACGTTGGTGTTTTTAAGATTTTGTAGAGTCCTAAAGAAGCGATTACATTTTTCCAAATCGTAGGCAATTTTGTATCTGGAAACTGTGTTTCTTCAGACCTCACACCCAATCACCCACAAGTAATATCGTGATACGATCTTGACTCTCCATTTACGCTATTTTATCATGAGGTTCAAAGATCACTTTACAGATGCTGTGGTCGCCTTGTATTCCAGCGTTGGCTGTCGGTGTATCGGTTATCGTAATTTCGGTGTCATCGGGGCGCAATTACAGGCGACGCGAAGGGATGAAAGTGAACGTTGTAGGAAATTAAAGGGTACGTTTGAGCCCAGACGAGGTGTCGTGCGTCCGTAGGGGTGCTTCAGCTATTAATCGCCCTTCTACAATTACAGGGACGTTATGATAGCTGATAGGCTGATCGGAAAAAATGTCACCGCCAGAAAATCTATGCAAGTTTCGTATGTATAAGTTTTTCCTACATAAACTTTACAAAAATACTTGGAAACTGTCTAAAGTCAAATAGTCAAATAATTTTTGGTGCACTAGATACTTCACACGTGAATATAAACCTATTTCTAAATTGTGTGACCCGTTAGATGTGAAGTAATACCACATAATAAGTAAACCAGAAGCTACACTCAGGCAAATTCCTCCGTGCAATTTTCAGACGCCGCCAGATAAGCGATTAGCTACGGCACCAAGCGCCGGTAAAATGACAAACAATCATTAAGGGCCGTATCGTTAGTCGTTACAACAATTGTAGGACGCCTACATGGTCTCCTTGATTTTCATAGCCTTTTTTCTCTCTTTCAGAAAGGCTGGTGTATTTCCAGATTTCTACTGTTCCATGTCAGCATCAGCGCGCTCCGATTGTGAGGTTGATGTTTCCTTTTTGAATCTCAAGAAGTTTCATGCTAATAAAACAGATGATAAAAATCAAAAGCATACACAATCTGATGTAAATAGATATTTGTAACATAACCTCAAAATAGAACGCATTTCTGAAGGACGGGAAATCTAGAAATCTAGAAATACCCTTTCTGAGGGAGAGGAAATACTATGAAAATTAAGGGTGCCATAAAGGTGTTCTACAATTAGTGTAAGGATGACTGACGATACTGCCCTAAGAGTAGACCAGATCAGACTTGCTCGTAGAAATTCAAGATCATATAAACTATTTCAATGGATAACTATTTGATAGACTCTGATAGTCAGAACTTGCTTATTTGAAGTAAGCGAATAATTTAGTAAGATGATCGACTCGCTACGGACGAGTGTTGAGTAATTTGTTCAATGTGTTGGGCACAATACATCAATATACTGTATATTGAGATGTAATAACTATGCAATCCTCTCGCCATTCTGATCGAACTGTGACAATGTTAAGTATAAACATTTTCCTAAAAATACATATGTATCACTTTATTACAGACTGATAGCTTATTTTGTTAAAGTCGCACGTTTCACTAATTCCACGGATAATTATTTTACTATCCATATGTTTTTAAATACAGATCAATATTACACATGAATTAATAACTGTAACAGTCACAGAACATATTCTAAAACCTTCATATTCTATTTATGAACAATGGTTCTTAAAAGTGGAATACAAATTATTGTCACTGTCCGTCAGAGCGGTCCGTAGGACATTTGCTTTCGGTTAAAGTATTGTAGGTCAGTAAGTCTATCATGTCTGATTGCTCAGATACCAGATAAAGTCAGGGAGAAAGAAGTGAAGAAGAAAGAAAGGAATGAAGGGGAAGAGCAGAGAGGAGGAAGTGCTTCTATTGGAGGGGTGCATTGACATCGTACACTAGTATTCAGTAATTTTAAATTGTTCTAAAAATTATTTTGGAAACTTGTATGTGTGGAAAAATTGGTCGTTTCAAAGACGCAGTTTTACAGGAGAGGCATAAGACTAGATAATTATGTACAATGAATAAATCAAGTACCCAAACTATTTCGAATTGATGTAGAAACATGCATTTAATATAAGAGAGGCGTTTTGTGGTAAAAAGTGAATTTCGTAAAAAAGTGACTTATGTTGTTTTTGAAACGAGCGATTCAATTGTGATTTTGGTTGAACATAGAATTGCACGATTTGATTTTGTACACAGTGCAGGCCCCGGTCTTGTTGTACTTGCTCGACTGTGTCGTCTACTGACTCATGCAACAGAGGGTTGCTGTACGATTCCGCTTGACTATAACGTTACTGTGCCTGTTTTTTGATATATTCTCTTAGGTAAGAAATGTCGAGGTCTCTGTGAAGGGTCTCAAAATATTCCCGGTCAAACATTAATATATAATCAATGTGAGGTATTTTTTCACATAAGCAACGACCGGTACCGGGAGTAATTTCCTGACATTTCTGACTCTCAAAAGCCCATTGAGTTTTGTTGGTAGAGTTATTGAGAAGAAGAAGAAGTTTGCGATATTTTTAATGACAAATATCCCAACCGGAATCCAAAAACAGCCACTTTCGGAAATATTAAAATAGGAAATTGTTTTCCATACCGGTGAAAAAAATACCTTTTATTCTTATTTCAAAAACTATGATGTCACGTCAAAGTATGTTGAATAAAAAGTATTCAGAATTTCTCGCACAATACAGAGATCTAATAAAATACACAGGGTGTTTGGAAGGTCGATACAAAGTCTTGGGGAGGGCATACCATTTAGAGTATTTTAAGCCAAACATATCCCAGTACAAAGTTTTACGGTTTTCGAGATATTCGGATTTTCAAACTTAAATCATAAATTAGTAAACGAAACAAAATAAACTATTGAAATACGCTTTATTGGTGTTCTTGCTCGAGCTCTAAGTGTTACTTCGGTAGTTATTGTATTTAATAACCTATCTTGATGCATTAAATAAAAAGCTGCTATAATTTATTTTATTAAATAGTCTTTGACACGATTTTTCCAGTGTAATCTAACTGTTTATCCCGCCCGTAAATATAGAAATCCAATGGTGGCATGTCCGGCGATGTAGCAGGCCACGGAATTGTTCCACCTCTGCCTATCCAGCTATTTGGAAAAGTATCGTCCAAATATTGTCTTACGTCTAAACGGAGATGAGCTGGACGTCCATCGTGTTTGAAAACAATTTGCATGTCATCTAGAATTTCTACTCCTACAAGTAATTCAGGCAGATCATTTTGCAAAAAGTGTAGATAAGTGTCGCCGTTTAATATTTCCGGCAAAGGATGAGGACCGATTAATCTTTGTCCTATGACGGCGGCCCATACATTAACGGAAAAGTTGTGCTGGAAAGACACCTGTTTTTTCCAGTGTGGATTTTCCTGCTTATCATTCCATTGATGCAAATTCACGTTCCTTCTTATCAGTATCACATTCATAGGAAAACATGTATTTATTATTTGTTTTTCTTTTCTCGACCTTCGGAGAAATAAACCACACTGTCAGGTATTTCAAAAATATTTCATATAGCCTGATGTCCTTTCAGTGATAACCGGAACAAAAGGCATTTTTTTCAATAAAAATTGAAAATCACGAATAACTCGAAAACCATAAGACTTTGGACAAATGTATTTTTGGCTTAAAAAATTCTAAATGCTCTGCCCTATCACCTCCCCAAGACTTTGTATCGACCTTCCAAACACTCTGTATAACATTCCATAATAAAAACAGAAGTTGCTATCAGTTTCTGAAAAACTGTAGATTTGACAACATCACGGATATCATCAACGGATCCGCCGTGGTTTCGAACCTAAACCTACCAATTTACAAAAAAATAGATTTGTCAGATCTTTGATGCATTTCAAATTTTGGTTCCGGTCTTTGTATATCAACTCTCTATTGAACATGGACATTAGTGACAATAGTATCGTATGCTGATGACACAGCTGCAGTATTTCATGACAACTTATGGTCTTTGACTTAAAACGCTGTTCAAGAAATAAAAGCATTGAAAAAGTATCTAAATGGCTGAATGTGTATCGCCTGTCTTTGAATACTAATAAGATATCTTGCATTTTCTATAAGAGATAAGTTTATCGCATTAGGTATTCAGGTATAGTCACTGACCAAAATCTAAAATAGAATAATCATTTTAATTACCTTGACATTAACGCTAGAAATATAAATACATACATTTTATCAACTCTGAAGATGCTTATCCGAAAACGCAATTTTGCTTATATTTAAATCGTTAGTTGAGTCTTTATTTCATTGTGGTATTATAGTTTTTTTCACTTTTGTTCGTGCACCACCATTGGTGAAGCATATAAGGCGTTCTATCATACCAGCACCCTTGTATCAATATAGTATTAGAATCAAGCAGTAAGTGCGAACTATAGGATTAAAGAACTTCGTAGCATTTTCGCTAGAATTATTTTAAAGACATTGTTCGGACTCAAACAGTCAATCAAGCACTTGTACGTTGAACAATGCACATTTCAATGCGCTCAAAACACAGACCGACCCTGTGCCGCTGTGTCCGACGCTGCTTCTGGCTGAAGCGAGTGCGTCGACAGCTCGAGTTATATTGGTGCCCTCTGTGCTAGATCGTGTGCTGCTCTGTGTGCCTGTAAAATCCACTCGTCTGACAAATACCACCAAGAGTGATTCTACCAACCCCATACTGTGGTAATATCGCAGTTCTTCTATCCTTGGTTGGCCGTTAGCGCGGTCCGAAGAACCTTTCAGAGGCGGATCTGAGATGACACACACGATGTTCTACGCGTCGGGCCTTAGAGATTCTACATCCGCCACAGGGACCTTTACTCTTGGTTAGACTCCTGTGGGTCATTAGGCCAATCGGATCTGGTAGGGATTCACTTGCGCAAACATTCAATAAGCCGTCTATAAAAAAAATAATGTTGATGATTGAGGACAAGAGACAAAACGTCATATTGAAATTCTGATTACGCTACCTTGCACAGAAGAAAAAAAGGCCACGTTTTAGTCAATTTATTTTGAAATCTCACCTCAAAGAAGGCCAGGAAGACATATTTTTTTAGGAACATCAAGTTTTCCATTCCCGTTCCCGGAATTAATTGGAAACTGTCTATGTGTCATTTTCTTAGCTACCTGAACGCGCAACTTCCCCCATTTAACCGACTTCGTATCGCTTACAGTTTTTAGACTAGGCGTATGATATTTCCACCTGTTTTTCAAATCAGGATCATGTAGAGTAAAAGCTACATGCTTTTCACACATCCTTTTTTTCTTATTTTTACGTGACAACAGTTTTATTTTTCATTCAGTCTTGTGAAAGCATTACCGGTTTGAATGGCAGTAATGAACGGTCGTGTATGAGTCGCAATATTAGGTGGTCTCATACGTGCATACGAGTATGAGGATGTGCAGTTCTATGATTTATCTGGAGACCACAGCGAGTATTAGTAGAGACAGACAGTTCATGCCAACGCAATCGCGCAATCTTCGTCATTGTCACGACCATTAAATCAAAACGTACATATGCACGTTGCAT